TAGTGGGAATTCTGTTTTCTATAGTGAGGTTTAGGTCGGTATGGGGAGTGGTGAAAGGGTTTGGGAGGAATAGAGGAGTGATTTTTATTAATGTATGAAGATGCGTACCGTGTATTGTGTGTAGTAGCTGGTTGGTATTGGTGAGACTCTGTTCTTGTATTGATATGTGAGTTATCAACCATATATCTTTTGTTTAGATGATATGTTCTAACCTGTCGGTTTGCATAGTCTTGCTTATCTCTGATGTACTTTTTAACTTTAATGTGCTTAGTGTCTGTTTCTATTTTTTCGATTTTACTTTGGATTAGAACTGAATTTTGTTGATACACATTACTTTCTGTAAAAGGCATAAGTTTCTCTCTAAGGTCATTAATTTCTCTATCCAAATTAGATAATTTTTTACTTTTTTTCTTAATTAGCGTATCCATAAGGCCAAATGTACACGTTTCTAATTTGTTATTCCATTCGTTCATAAATTCAATGTCATCTTGGTCTGAAGTGGGTAATTTCATAAGTCTCAGGCCACGAGGTGTTATACGTTCATCTATATATTTTTTAAAAGTAGCAATTTCCCATTTTAATTTAATTTCTGTTGTTAGGGCCTTTTCTAATTTAATGAACAATTCTTGCTGAGTGAATGTAGGAGGCCTTACATATATAGGACTAGTAGGTTGGTGTGAAAAAACATTATCTATATCAATAGAGTAATTACTTCTGTATTCAAAAATAGACATATTAAAAGCAGCTAAAACCAGAGGGATATAGATAAGATACAAGAAGAGAGGAAAGAAAGGTTAGCGCTAATAATAACTATATACAAAAATAAAGGCAGCGGCCTTATAGAGGGTCACTCTCTAACCCTCTACAGTGGAAATATATACAAAAACAGAGAATAAGGCTGCGCCAAGAAAATAAAAATAAGTCCAAATAATAAAATGTTCTAATAAGAGAGTCCCAATGGTAGGTGGTGTTTCAATTGGTGTGGTGTCTTCCTTAGCAGTGGTCGTCCGTCTCACGATATGAAAGACACAATGGGAGAGAGCCAATTGTGCAGAGTGTATAAATAAATAATATTTGAATAAAATATAAATTACACACTCACATTGCCATGAGCTAGGACCAGCTCAGGTATGATGGGCATACGGCGGATAACCCTCCGCTTGTAGGGGTACTTTTCCTCCTGGAGCGTCCTGGTGTCCAAATTCTCAGGTAAAGAAAATAAAAACAGCCAATAGTGCTCTCTGATAAAATGGTTGGTAAAAAGGATAAAAAGTAAATAAAATATACTCACAAGTCGAGTGCAGGTCAATCTGCACTCTGATATTCGCGTGGGTGGTATAATCCCCACCTTAGGATATGCCAGGAACAATAAATGAGGTTAAAAGTAATAATAATTATAAAATTATTTTTATTTTATTATTTTTATTATTTTTATAATCTTTTACTTTTTAATTATTATTTTTTATTTTATCTTTTTGCTTTAATATATATTTTTGTTTAATATATATTAGTATTTTATTTTACTTCTACCTTTGCTATTATTGATTTATTATTTTATGCCCCTCCTAATTGGTTTATTTTATACATATTTTATATATTTTAATATGCTTGTTCTAATTACATACTGATTTGTTTTATATCTTACTACCTCCTATTATATGTTATTTTTTATTTATATACCAGTTTCAATTATACCTTATCACTTTCTACTATATTTTATTTAATGTGTTGCTCAAAACTACACTCCCCAGTGTTCCTTGCGGGTATGGTCACGTGGCCCGCGGGTATTATTGATTCTTGACACCGCGGGTCACGTGACAAGGTCCGAACCCGCCCCCCTCTTCCCCAGTCCGTGCGTGCCGTTTTCTTCTATTGCGGCCGCACGGACTGTGTATTTGTATATCGGCGATCACATGACCCGGCACTACATGCCCCAAGGTGCATTGCGGGTCACGTGACTCGCACGAAACCGGAAGTTTATATTTTATCTTATTTCTATACTAAATAATGCTCGTTTTTTATATATTCATATACACATTTCATCCTATGTTTATGGATATCTATAATTTATATTATTTTTCATCTTTTGCATGTATATTCTTTATTTACATTTTGTATCAATTCAATTGGTTGATCAATTTTTTGGCGCCAATTTTAAATGTTTGTATTAGCTATATATACTCCTAATGTGCCAGGTATCTCTACTATTCCAATTTGATAAAGCCTCCACGGCGAAACGCGTTATTGGTTTTAATATATTGTACTAATAAATAATTTTATAATTATTATTACTTTTAACCTCATTTATTGTTCCTGGCATATCCTAAGGTGGGGATTATACCACCCACGCGAATAATAGAGTGCAGATTGACCTGCACTCCACTTGTGAGTATATTTTATTTATTTTTTATCCTTTTTACCAACTACCTCACCAGAGAGCACTATTGGCTGTTTTTATTTTCTTTCCTTGAGAATTTGGACACCAGGACGCTCCAGGAGGACAAGCACCCCTATAAGCGGAGGGTTATCCGCCGTATGCCCATTATACTAGAGCTGGTCCTAGCTCATGGAAATGTGAGTGTGTATTTATATTTTATTTTAAAATTATCTATTTATACACTCTGCACAATTGGCTCTCTCCCATTGTGTCTTTCATATCGTGAGACGGACGACCACTGCTAAGGAAGACACCACACCAATTGAAACACCACCTACCATTGGGACTCTCTTATTAGAACATTTTATTATTTGGACTTATTTTTATTTTCTTGGCGCAGCCTTATTCTCTGTTTTTGTATATATTTTGAACCTTGGCGTGGGATCATTTTTTCTCTAGTTTCCAGGTGTAGTGGTAATGAGCGTTTTTAAAATGTATTTTTTTCTACTTTTTTAAACTTTTTTACTTTTAAAAACTAGTTTTTAAACTTTTGTTTTGCTTATTAATTTTTTTTAAACTTTCCTAAACTTTCTTAAAACTTTCTTACAGATTTAACATTTTTCTAAGCATATTTTTTTACCCTTAACCCCTAACTAGCAGTAAGCAGCACTAACAGTAAATTCACCATTTTCCCATAACTCCCACCCACCTCAGCTAGCAAAATATATAGTTATAAAATATTTAAATGAATTAATTAAATAAATTGAACCCCTGAGGGTTAAAAATATATAAAAGTTAATCCTCATGGGTTAAAAAAAATTATATCACAGTATAATACTGTGATCTGTATTTGATCGCTGTAGGCAGTGATCGACTGGCAGGGAAGGGGTTAATTTTTATTTGGACTAGGTAAAGGGGGGTGTTTTTTTTATTTTTTACTTAAACGTTATTAAAACTTTTTTTAAGCTTAATTTTTAACTTTTTAAAGTTTATTTTAAAACTTTTTTTAATGTTAACCCCTAGTTAGCCTAACGCCAAATCCCCCAATTCCCCACTAACTTCCACCCACCCTAGCTAGCTAAATATATAATTTTAAAATATTTTAATTAATTAAATAAATTTAACCCCTGAGGGTTAAAAAAACAAAAAAGAATTAACCCTCAAGGGTTAAAAAAAAATCAGATCATAGTAAAGACTGTAGTCAGTGATCAATTGGCAGGGAAGGGGTTAATTTTTTATTACAATAGGTAAAGGGGGGTGGGACTTTAAATTAACTTTATTTTTTTTACAGCAGAGGGCAGGATCAGCACTGTTCCGGCTCCCTGCACTTCACACAGAACCAGGAAGTGCAGGGAGCCGGAAGGTAAGTATACAGAGCACATGTGCTCGCTCTGACTTGCGGTCAGAGCGAGCACATGTGCTGGGCAGCCTGACCGGGTGCTCCCGGTATGCCTCTAATGCAGAGGCATACCGGAGCACCATTAACCCCGCGATCACCGCAATAGCGGCGATCCGGGGTTAATTTTACCACGTGACGGACAAGGTCCGTCACTCGTCACTAAGGGTCTCCCCTCTGTGACGGACCTCGTCCGTCACCCGTCCTTAAGGGGTTAAATGTAAAAGGCCTTAATTCACCCTGGAAAAGTAAATTGATGTTTAGAGAATTGAGAAGGTTGCAATCTGATATTGCCTTTTTGCAAGAAACGCATTTAAACAGAACTCATGTGCTTTCTCTCACGGATAAAATGTATGATAGAGCTTACAGTTCAAATGCCCTTCGTTAGCATAATAGAGTGGCAATTTTGATCCATAAACGCTGCCAGTTTAAAGTTTCAAACACATTACAGGATAGAGAAGGCCGTTTTATATTGGTATCTGGTATCCTACGGCCCAGTAAACTTCATCTACTTAATATATACGCTCTGAATGTCGCAGATGCAAGTTTTTGGGACAAGATTGGACAGGTTATTGAGCCTATCCAGTCAGACCTGATAGGCGGTGACTGTAATGCTGTCTCATGCCCGGCAGTGGATAGGAGTTGTAGGCCTGGAGAAGTTCGGTCTCAGGGACGGGGGGATCAGGATAGATTGTTTTTTCAGTTTATTGCGGCTTATAAGCTAATTGACGTATGGAGGGCTCACCACCCTGATGTACCTGATTTTACTTTTTCCTCATCTCCACATGGTACATATTTCAGAACAGATAAGTTTTTTTTCTAATCCAGAATTAGTTTCCTGTCTTTACAATTCACAAATTACCAATATTACCTCGTCAGATCATGCAGATATTGCTGTTTTTATAAAAGGTTTATCTCCTAAATCTATATACTCTTGGAGTCTCAATTCCTCTCTCTTGGGGGATCTTTCCCTTAGGGAAGAAATCTTGAAGGCCCTTTCAAATTCTGTTATAGAAAATAAAACACCTGAAATCAGCAGAACTACATTATGTGCAGCCCATAAAACTATAATTAGAGGAAGATTTATTAAAATAGCCTCATATAGGAAAAATAAAAAAATCTAAAACTTTGATTAAACTCCAGAAAACTATACGCAAGCTGCAATTTACGCATAAAACAGCCTGCTCGGAAGAAACACTTTCGGACCTTAGATCCAACAGATTAAAAATGAAAACACTTCTACTAGATGATGCAGCGTGGCAGATGAAATCAACACGAAGGTACTTCTATGAGAGAGCGAACAGGATCGACACTCCCTTGGCCAAATTCTTAAGGCTGTGTTTGCATTCTAAACCGATAACAACTATTAGAGTTGCTTCTAGAACTTTGGTTTCGGCTGCTGATGAGATTTATAAAGCATTTCGGGAATATTTTTCTACACTATACAACCAATTCTCAGATTGGAATGGGGAGAGCCCGGAGTGGGGGTTGCAGTTGAAAGAGTTTTTAGTTTCATTGAACCTACTCTCTATTCCCATAGATATCTTAGACACTCTAGAGACAAGGATCTCTATGGAAGACATAAAGTCTGCTATTTTGTCCATTAAGGGAGGTAAAACACCTGTTCTGGATGGATTTAGTGGCAGCTATTACAAGATTTTTTAGCAAATCCTTCTGCCATCTATGCAGGAGGTTTGGGATGAAATACGCCAGACTGGAATTCTCCCAGCAGATTTGACAATGACTAAAATCTTTCTTCTCCCGAAAAAAGGATAAAGATCCAGTTGGGAATTACAGACCCATCGCTTTATTAAATAAGGACACAAAAATATTGGCAAAGGCTTTGGCCGCGCGTCTGTCTCGGCTTTCTCCCCATTCTGATCCTGGAAGGCACGTATATGGGAACACTCGCAGAGTTGTGGACCTTGCATGGTTTATGGAGTCAGAGAAATTGCCTTCGATGCTCTTGTCACTGGATGCAGAGAAGGCATTTGATAGGGCTGCCTGGCCATACCTATTTTACTTGTTACAGTCCTGGGGTTTTCCAGACTCTATTATTGCTATTATCCACGCTTTATATTCTAATCCTCAGGCTTTAATACAACTTCCTGGTTTCAGATGGGATCCCCTTCTGGATATTCAATGGCATGCACCAATGCTGCCCCCTTTCTCTGATCCTGTTTGCTCTTATATTGGAGCCGCTTCTAATATGTGTCAGTGAAAGTGGTGCTATCCAGGGGTCCTGATTGGACAGGAGAACTATAAGGTCGCAGCTTACGCCGATGATATACTGATTTCAGTAGTGAAATCTTCTCAAATTATCCCTGCTTTGCTCGATAATAGAACAATTAGGGATGATTTCAGATTAAAGAGTAAACTATTCTAAATCCAGTGTGGTGCCCATTCACATCTTGACGCAAGAGCAGGATAGTTTATAACAAAATTTTGGCTTGCCCTCTGTTAGCTCTCTATGCTATCTTGGTATTAAGATCAGTTGCTTCCACACTATGTTATATTCGGATAACTATTAACTTATTAACCTTAATAAGAAATCTGAAAAAGGACTTAGAGAATTGGCAAGACAAGCAAATTTCATGGTTTGGCAGAATTCACTATATTAACCTCACCTAGACTGCTATTCTATTTCAACTCTGCCTTTTTGGGTCAGCAATGGAGATCTCGATGGTATGCAGAAAGCCATAGATATATTTATTTGGCAGAACAAGCGTAGAAGAGTGGCCAGAAATTTCCTGTATAGACCCAGAGATAAAGGGGGACTAGTTCTCCTTAATTTACTTATTTATTACTATGCTGCACAATTGGTACAAATAATCTGTTGGCGCACACCTCCTGAGGGAACATCGTTAGGTAGATATAAAGACCGATTTCATGACTCCACATTCACCTGCACTCTATATGTGGCTTAATAAGTTTTCGAGGCCAGTCTTATACACATCTTGTCCAGCAATCTTAAGTTCTCTAAGATTTTAAATAACTTTGAATTCCCAGAAATTCTCACTTCAGTAAATAACCCTGATTGTGTTTTTAAGATTTCTCTTGTTTCGAAATATAGTAAATTACAGAAAAAAAGTCTCTTAACTTTTTTCATAGGATGCTTTCTTTTCTTTCAAATTTATATTAGCAAGTTTGGAAATTACTTCACAATCCAGAGCTTAAAACAACGATTGACCGGAGCGAAGATGGAGATACCCAGGTGCAGGATGAAATGGTGTTGATTCATTCATTTAATTTTACTTTTCCCACCTTATAAATACATATTTGTCAAATGCGCAGGATACAAAAGCATAATTTTAAAAAGCCTTCTTAGAGGCAGTTCCTGTTTGTCAGGGTTTAGTATACAGAGCACAGAATGCGGTAATAGAGGAAAAATCAAAGCGAGGTACCCATAAGGATGAGTCAGAGATGAGGTCAGGATAGCAAAGGGTCAAGTCAGGCAGTACAGGCCAAAGGTCAAATCCCAGGTAGACAATGTATAAAGGACAGAGCCAACTGGATACAACTTATCACCAGTTGACAACAGAGCACAGTATAAATGTGAGAGTTCCAGGCTGCCGTGGCTAAGTGCCAGTCACTGAAATTAACTGTTTTTGGCGTGGAGAAGGGGGAACCCCCTGGCTCTTAGATAGCGGTGGGTGCCTCTCTCTCCTCTATTTCCCCTCCAAAAAGCACTCTTGCAGCTGTTTTATTCACAGAGTAAGACCAGCCGTTAGTTTCACCGGGCAGCAGCGAGAGACCAGGCACACTCGGAGTTCCATGAAATTAGCACCTGATTCTGCTGAGCGTTTTGCGGCTGCCTTAACCTCCTGGAGCAGTTTTATTGGTCATTCTTAGAGTGCTCGTTGTAGAGTGTGTAAATGGGAGTCCTGCACCGTTAATCTGCACCGGTGCAGGCCACACTAAGCATTTCTTTTTAGCAAAGGCCTGACAGGTCAACCAGGTAACTGGGAGACTTACCTGTGGGCTCCCCGCTGTCTAATCCGAAGTCGGCTGCTGTCAGGTTGGCAATGAAATTTTCACAAAAAAATACGTAGAAGTGTCTTTATTTTCAATGTTACATGGGAAGGTGTTAGTAATATATAGATTTGAGGCTGTAGATTTGCAGGGAACAGAGGTTGCCAATTGTTCTGTTGCAGTTAGCACTGTATTTTTATGGTAGTCTCTGACATCATATATCAACTCTAACTACTACTGAGTATATTAAAAATGTATCCATTACAGTTTGTGAGTGTATCTGTATCAGTGTGTGTGTCAAAAAGTGCAACCCTACGTCACTTTCTTTGCTGTATTTAATCATATATATTATGCAATAGTGGAAGAAACACACAACACTATGTTTGGCCAAAAAAAGGCACAGCACACCAACATCAAAACCTCATCCCAACCGTGAAGTATGGTGGTGGGGGCATCATGGTTTGGGGCTGCTTTGCTGCGTCAAGGCCTGGACGGATTGCTATCATCGAAGGAAAAATGAATCCCCAAGTTTATCAAGACATTTTGCAGGAGAACTTAAGGCCATCTGTCTACCAGCTGAAGCTCAACAGAAGATGGGTGTTGCAACAGGACAATGACCCAAAGCATAGAAGTAAATCAACAACAGAATGGCTTAAACAGAAGAAAATACGCCTTCTGAAGTGGCCCAGTCAGAGTCTGACCTCAACCCGATTGAGATGCTGTGGCATGACCTCAAGAAAGTGATTCACACCAGACATCCCAAGAATATTGCTGAACTGAAACAGTTCTGTAAAGAGGAATGGTCAAGAATTACTCCTGACCGTTGTGCACGTCTGATCTGCAACTACAGGAAACGTTTGGTTGAAGTTATTGCTGCCAAAGGAGGTTCAACCAGTTATTAAATCCAAGGGTTCACATACTTTTCCACCTGCACTGTGAATGTTTACATGGTGTGTTCAATAAAAACATGGCAACATTTCATTCTTTGTTTGTTATTAGTTTATGCAGACTGTGATTGTCTATTGTTGTGACTTAGATGATGATCAGATCACATTTTATGACCAATTTGTGCAGATATCCATATTATTCCAAAGGGTTCACATACCTTTTCTTGCAACTGTATCATTATGAAAACAAATGGATCAGAAATCATTTGCTTCAATTCATTCCAAACGTGTTAATTTTTTTGTTCATATCATTTTATAATGTATTCGGAAATTCAGGAGCTTCTTATTTGCCGAATTCGTCCAAACTCAAATTTATAACGAAACAAATTGCACATGGCTGAAAATTATAGGTGATGTATTTTACCAAGGGTCCTTGTCATTTGTCCAACACCTTTAGAAGAAGAAAAATGTCTCAAGGTGGGATAGAAGCAATTTTCTGAGGAAGAGTGGACTGTTGTGCTTCTTTATAATTTAGTTCTAACATACAGTGTCAACTATGTAAAAATTCTGGAGAAGATACTCTACCCTTGGCACATAGTACCAATGAGATTAGCACATACAAAACCCAATGTTTAGCCCCCATGGATGCAGAAATCGTGGAGGATATCATATATGGTGAGATTACCCTAGATTACGTGGCATGTGGGATGCATGATGTCTGCTGTTGGCGTAGGTCTGTGTAATGTGGAAAAAAGTTATTTGGAGAACGCAAAATTCTTTATTTGGGGAAAAAGACAAGAAAACAAAACCAGCTTCAACACGCAGAAGAGAATTTTAGTAGACCTGATGGAATTTCTCCTATAAGGCCTGACGTCCAAAAATTGACAAGTAAATTAGTGATGATGGATACATGTTATTTTCCTGCATCAATACCTTTTCTTAATAGGAAATTTCTCAATGACTGTATGATTTACTATGATATATGTTTTGTTTCATTTTACAGATGTAATAGTGCCACCTGGTGGAAATGCTAGTTATTGCTCATTTCCAAGTTCAAGGATTTACCACTTAAGGGACACTCCAGGCACCCAGACCACTCCGGCCAATTGGAGTGGTCTGGGTGCCAACTCCCACTACCCTTAACCCTGCAAGTGTAATTAGTGCAGTTTTTCATAAACTGCACTAATTGCCTAACAGGGTTAAAGGGACTCTCCAGTACCCGGAAAACAATCAGTTTTCCTGGCACTGCAGGTCCCCTCTCCTTCCCACCTCCCATCCACGGTTGCTGAAAGGGTGAAAATCCCTTCAGTCACTTACCTGAGACCCCCTCCGAGGGAGTGGTTTTTGGTCGCCGCCGCTCCTCCTCTTCATTACGTCGGCCGGTGGGCGAGACTGATCCGCCAGCTGACCGTGGAGACTATGTGACAGCCACTAGAGGAGCTTCCAGGTTCTTAAAACACTTTTAGAGATGCTGGACGCAATGCATGAGGACCTCCAGCGTCGCCGGAATCCCCATAGGAAAGCATTCTGCGCATGTGCATTAGGTCTCCTGCACCGGCGTCAGGAGGAGAGTTGGCAGAGCCTGACCCAGCACCGAGGGACATCAGCGCTGGATACAGGTAAGTCACTGAAGGGGTTTTAACCCCTTCAGCAACCTGGGATGGGAGGAGGGAGGGAGAGGAGACCTGAGTGCCAAAGAGTCCCTTTAGTGGCACAATCTCAGTTTGCTTGTACTTAAAGAACAACTGTCACCTCAAAACAATTTGAAAGGAAATATATTTTTTTAATGCAGCATATGTAAGATAA